ATGTCTAATGAAACTCTAAGCAATAGGCGAAGTATTACTTTCCTATCAAAAATCAATGCACAATAGTATAGGAAACATGTTTTTTTATCATTGAACTTTTTAACTTGATCTTTGTCTGAATGTTTAAGAAGACAATTAAAATTTTACTTTGATAAGAAGAATCGACTGCTATTCTAATTACTTAATTATTCAGAATACGTTTGTTAACAAGGTAAAATTGTGTTTGAGTGTAGATATACTTACAAGTTAAAGGTTAATTACCAAGTACTAATACCTAAAGTCGTTCATTTCCTTCTATTGAATTATTTATATTTCCTTTGTTGGTTCATTATGAAATGTTTACTTATATTATACTTCTGTAATAAATTAACTCAAAGAAGAAATAACGCACTCTAACTTTAGACAGAAAATGAACTAATGAAGTTCAAAGAAAATGTTGGAATTAAGTAAAGTGTTGTTGTTCCATTAAATTATTTAATATTCAAGAAGTAATACACAAGAAGTAATATACAATAAGATAACTACAACGTCTATCCATAATGCTGTGTATGTTAACATTATCACAATAATCGACGATTCGACGACCGGATGGCGTAGTGGTTTGTGTAGCGGACTGCTATTCCAAAGGTCGCGGGTTCGATTCCCGCTAAAGTCAAACATTTGTGTGCATGAACATTTAATGTTTGATATGGTCTGAGTGTTTCTATGTACAATATGTATGTATTTACAAAAAAAATATATTATGTATTTATGTCAGTTGTCTAGTACCAATAGTACAAGCTCTGCTTAGTTTAGGACTAGATGGCGTTCTGTAAATGTGGCAGAATAATATATTATTATTATAATAATTGTTAATATTATCAACCTATGTTAAGTATACTATTAAGAAATAATACGAGTGGGTCAAATGGGGCAATCCAACTCATGGCAACGTGACAATTTCTAATCAGCATATTAATTAACCACGGTCAGTTAGAAATCGATACAGCCAAATATTTAGCATCGTTAATCTGCTTTTTAATAATTATTATTATACATTTTGCAAAGAAAATAATGTTATTCTAGCTTTATTTGTGTGTAGCTCTATGAGTTTAATTTTTTTTATTTTATTGTCAATTTTGAATACATTTTAAGCAATTGAATGGGACAATCGTGTTGAATATAAATTAGAAAACGTATGTTCATTCTAATTTTATGCACTGGCGTACCGTCCGTTCTGTCTAATCATCCTTAAATTTGAATACACTAAAAGGATATAGGGACGGATATAGGATAACCTTTATCCAAATAAAAGTAGTGTATTTTAGAGAAATATAAAAGTAATTCTCTCTAAGTATTCCTCGAATACAGTATTTTTAGAATATTAATACTGAAGGGCTTTATTTTTCATAAATAACTCAATATTATAATAACAAATCTATTACTATCTTACGAAAAGCCACCCAAACTACTTTATGTATGACAGAATCGCCCGACATTTCGATCAAGTTGCACTGACCGCGGTTACATAAAAAAACAAAAGAAATTACTTTCGCTTTACAACATTAGCAAGGATTCCATTCTGTTGGTATAAATAGTCCGTAACAATTAAATGTAATTGTGTCGCAACATTTATGATTATATCATTTCGGATATAACAAGCCAACCCTACACTTAAAACACGAGGTGCCTGAGAGCTCAGAATGGACCGCGAACTCCATGAGCTCGGATGTGGCAGTAACGGATCGGGCTGATCGTCATCCTTGCAGAGTAAGCCCTGATACAGAGGCGCGACGTGTTCTACATGTGCCACTTTGGTCTGGTTAGGTTCCTTGAAGGGTGAAGTTTTTTCCCCTGGGATAGGCCTGATTAGCCATGGTGTAAATTCGGGGAGGACCTGAAATAACATGGTCCGGGTCCTCTCAGAGTAGGACACCTGAGGCCGGCCGTCGGTGTGGTTTTCAGTGGAATCACCACATACCCCTGGCTCCTGAGTCCCCGAGGAGCAGGCGATCTAAAGGGATTTTCTACCACTTCAACAAAAAAAGGCTGCCTAAAACCAACGGCTTGGTCGCCTGTTTGTCAGGTCAGTTGAATTCTAGGCGTGAAGAGACTTGATAGAGTAGAGTTCAGGACCCCTGCAATAGACTCACTTGTACTCCGTATGGTTTTAGTAGAATTGAGTCCGACTTACCACCTCAACCTTGTCTGGTGAAGTGCCATCACTTCATCAGCCATCTTCAATATGACAAAAGAAAAACATGACTACAAAGCTCAGGGAAAATAATTTAACCCAAACTAAAATCTAGCTCAAACTTCTTACGAGTCTAACAAGGGGTTCTGAAGTTTGAAGTAATTATGTAATACGTAGCCTTGTTCCAATAAGGACATCAACCAATTTCATTAGTTAATCGTGACCTGATTATTTAACCAACTATAATTTATGATGACCATATTAATATTACACATCTTTATTTCTTCATTAAACAGAATGACTTAAAAATCGCAATGCACCAAATTTGTACATACACATAGTAAGCGCTAATATCGAGCATATTTTATTATACGTAAAAACTTTTGTCTTGTTCGATTGGTCATTTTTGTTTTGATGTTATTGGGAACGAACAAACAGTCGAGTCATCTTGGCGTCAATTCTGCTATTTTAATATTGTATCAATAGACTGTCCACTGTGACACTTTTCCTATTGTACTTAAGCCATTGATACAAATGTCATCTATGTCTTTGTAATAGTAAACGGTAAATTTTCAATTTGTAAGGAAATGATGATATTTAATTCTCGAGATATGGCATTTTTGTTAATATCACAATTGACAAGCCATTGTCACTACATCGACACTGTCAATTTATGTTAGTAGAATACCGATATTTTGACTGATGGGAATGTCTTCTCAATAGCATTTCAATGGAATGACAGTGGTTTGTATGTTGACGTAAAAGAGCAGAATTGAGGTCCTAATGGTACGTCTACCTACTTCTAGTCAAGTAACGAAATGAGATAAAAGAATTGCTTAAAACTCTGATTATGGGATCGTGGTATCACTCCGGTCGAGGGCCATTCGTGTTAAATGTTAAAGGCTGCACATAATTATACATACTTACTATATACTTTAAAAACCATTACGGCTCAATCAAAAGTATTGCCTCCGTGGTGCAGAGGTAGCGTATGCGACTGCTGTGCTGAGGTCTCGGGTTCAATTCCTGGGGCAGACCAAAGGTTTGTGTGATCTGCAAACATTTGTTTTTGGAAGGAGTTTGGGTGTTTTCTATGTAAAATCTGTATGTATTTACAAAAAAAAAGTATATAAGTATTTTATCAGTCAATCTAGCTTTCATAGTATAAGCTCTGCTTAGTTTGAAACTAGATGGCGTTTTGTGTAAGATGTCATAAATATTATTATTAATTACTGACTTTTAACGATGAAAAGAATCCATTCTTGGTATATAGGAGCTAAAACTAATACAGAGGAATTTATTCGATCTTTAAGATTTAGGGATAGGAATGGATCGATTTTGTCATTATCTTATCAAGAGAAAAATGGCGTATATACGCGTATATACGATTGTGGACAAGAGGTGCATATTCGCGTGATGATGTACAAGGTCATGTCAAATTCTTTATAACGCTCGATTTGTGATAATACAGATTCACAAATTGATTAAAATGCCGTTCCACTACGGAGACTTTTTAGAGTTTTGTTAAATAAATCGGACTGACTGCACGGATGGCGTAGTGGTTTAAGCGGTCACCTTGTCACTTACTACTACGCTGAGTGTTGTGGGTCCGATCCCCACATGGGACGACACTTTGTGTGATCAACTAATTGGGTCTGGGTGTTCTTTGTGTTCATTTCATGTAAGTTTGTAAAGTCCCCCGCGACACAGGATAAATTCTTAATGCGGGAGTTGTCTTCTTTATTATATTTTATCTTTTGTAGCGTATTGTTGTTTTGTGTAGTTTGATGGTTGGTACATCCAGGTCTATATAAAACTACCTCAACATCATCTAGCGAATACAATCTGCTTTACATAGTAGTTGTTAATTCTGTATCACATAGAACCTCCCAACATTAGTAGTTAGGTCGCTGTTCTCCAGAGATAATCACTCCCGTGGTTGAAGGATCCCCCCATAATGTCTGAAACAAATAATAGAGATTGGTCAACAACACTTTTATAAGATATTTATTATAAGCGCATTAACAAAGTCTGACACACTGGTCAACAGTCACCTCATGCGTTGCCAACCCAATCACTCTCTCCAAGAACTTTAACGGACAATTCAAAGCAGGGGTGGTCTTTAATGGTAGTGAGCAGAGCAACCGCCTGGAGCCTCGCTCATGCATTGCTCATGCCTTGTGGACTCGTGCAACAACTCGAAATGCTCTACCTGCCCAGGGCCTCGCAACGACTGAGGCAACCACTTTATATATAAACAACTAAAAACGTCTATTTGGCTAAGAAATTATAGTGTAATTTACATCATACGTAAAAGCGCATTTTCTTTTTGTTTTTGGTAAGTAATATTGTTGATTTTGTAATTCACCAACTCAAAACGCGGCGGAAGTCACTTACTCACCCTATGCTATAAAATATGAATCTACTAGGCTAGAGTTAAGCTAGTTTAAACCCATGTTTTCCAATTTATAAACTATAAATCCTTAATGTTTTTATAGTTCATAAATTATAGTACAAACGGCACATAAAGTTACCTTTCGAGCGTTAACGATATAAAATATAGATTTTGCCATAGCATGTAACTGTCACTGAATCGTTTTAACAATAAATAAAACTTTGTATCTGCGACAATTTTGTCGGTGCATCCGCGGCAGCAGGATCCCGGTTTTAGTTCGGATCTGTTGATAGACAATATCTCTCGTCTATCTCGTATCGGCTGATGTTATCACCTGCCCAGATCCAATGATCTCGATAAAATTGAAGACTTTCCACTTTACGTGTTACTTGTGTCGGAGATCGCAACAGTGAAGTTAGATTTGCGGTCAATATGTCTAGTAAGTATTTTTTCTGTTTCTTTGTATTTCAAAGTTTGGTTTCTAATAGTGTTGAAGACAAAATTTCTTTTTGTAAACAAATAATTTTGCATCGATAAAATTTATAATACATACCAAGTGCGTATTGGAAGTGTTCATATTTTAACAATTATGTATGTAATGCAAGTATGTATGTTAAACCATAACTCAAAGAAAAGAAGCACCCAATACATTAAATATTTAAAATATATTTCTCAAACATTTTTTTATACTTGTTTTAATAATAATGATACATGTCTTCATTGTACACCAAGGAAACAAAGAGTAAGATTCAACAGCATTATGCGGCTAATTCAACTATACATAACTTGTCTATCTAGATAGGTATTATCTATAACAAAACGTATATTCAAATAAAATACGGAACCCTTACAAGATCACTCGTGCCACTGTTTATCTGTCACAGTCAATTAACTCCGAATCTACTGGACTAGTATACATGTGATATATCAAATAAAATTCATTCATAATTTTATGATCGTTTTAAGTTTAGAGTTTTAAAATTATTTAAGAAAATATATATAAATTGACTTACCTCCACTTTATATCCGAAAATGAACCTATAATTGATACTTTTTCTTCTTTATTACACAAAACTTATAAGAAATCTTTGGTCTTAAAGTAACAAGATGAACTTTATAGTATTGGACGTAAAAACATTAGCATTTAGGGAGGACATGCTAATTAACTACAATGATAATTTTGTTCAATTAGACATCGTACTTCTTTAGTGAAATTCTGGTTGTATCAATCTAATTACTTAAAGAACCTTAGTTATAATGAGTAATAATAATTTAAACGACCTCGAATACGCTGCATAAGCATAACGTACATATCTCGTTTTACTGTCACTATTTAATTTAAATAGATATAAATAGTTTAAATCAATTCGTACGATAATTTATGCTATCCTTTAATTTCAACAACCTACATACCTAACTAACTTACGCTTTGTGCCGTTATCAATATAAATACTTAAGACTTCACTATCCCGCCCTTAGTAAACTTACACTCAGTTATGCAAATCTGGATTTAACTAACAAACAAGTCCTTGGACATCGATAACATATTGATAAGTTGCGTTGTACGTTGGTACTAGGCCCTAGGGTGATTAATTATGTAAAATATATTATTGAGAACACAGCGGAATCCTAACGTGAACATTTCAATGCCCCTATTAGATAAACCGCTTTCTATTTTTTTAAAAGTTCAGACCAATTCATTAACATTTTACCTAAACTTGAATCGTACATGATATCAGTACAGATTATTAATTTTTAGCAGAAAATAAATAGAAATAAACAAGCGTACTTTATTAATTAGTTTAGTTCCAAAAGTCGCTTCTTCATTTAATTGAGTGTTTGTGGGGTAAACCATGCATTACCAACGTGTATAAGATTGATTGCGTAACGTAACGTGAAAGTAAGTATAGGTTAAAAGTATTTTCAAGACAAATTCACAATTCAGATTTTGGCTTAAGTGTAATTATAAACATATCCAACAATTTACATTGCACTGGTTAAATACATCTGTCGTATTCACATATATTATGAAACCTTAGACCATTCGCTATCTATTTAACCTACTGAATTTTGTACAAATTGTAGAGGGCATGCCGACAACTTCGTGTTGTATTATATCATTAATGTGTTAGACTTACGAACTTACGGGTTTACACCCATATTCTGCAAATAAATACGAACTCGTAACTATGGAATTACATTTCACTACAACAGTCACTCGACCGCTTGGATTAATATTAGGTTAGGCTATTAGGTAGGTACACCGGATTCCTGCCGTTTTGCAAGAAAAACAATCACAAAATTTCATCATCTAAACAAATTTTAGCTACCATTTTTTATACCAATGCAATATTCTGAAGGCATTGGGTTTTTAATCAAATGATTTATTACAACAAACATTTAGTCAAATGATTTGTTGTGACAAGATATATAAAGACAAAAATAAGAGTTTAGGGAAATTTAAAGCGTAACATGCTTTTTTTAGTTTAGAACTGTGACTACACCACGCCAGAAACATATTTTTTAATGTAAAACCAGAAACTACTACCAGAATAGTTAATATTGATATTATTACTACCTGTTTAGTAGTTGTCCAAAGTGGAAAAAAGCCTTTATAATAAAACGTCTTCAACTAAATATTCTATATAACTAAATATTTGGTTTATTTTATTTTGTGTAAAAAATGTTATAAAACCTAAAATATTTTACTACTAAAATTGGTAAAAATACTAGTTAGTAAGCAAGTTATTGTTTAAACCTTAACTTCTCAAACATTAGGTTTGCGTTAAAATTATTTGTGAAGAGTTTATTTGCTAAGTTATAATTTGGCAAATGAGATTATGCGGAAAATTGTTTAATTGTTTGGGAAGTGATAATTTGTCAATTTTTTTTGACCCACGTAGATAGGGTAGGGTAGGGTAGGGTAACCCACGGGAGGGGTCGTCTACCTGTTGTTGTAGATGGCCCGAGGTATGTCGGGGCACCAGGGACTTCCTTTCTAGGGTATACCTGGTTCCCCGGCTATTAGTACCCGAGACGGCGTGCGGTTTTAGTCGGTTCGAGTGCGACATGCCACCGACAGGTGGTATCCGAGGGGATTTCCGCACGAAAAAAAAAAGGGTAACCCACGTAGATACACTACTTTTAGGAGAGATTTATAGGTATTTTTGTAACATAATTAGTGTCTCTTATAATAGCATAAATTGTACCGCTCTTTTTCCTCCGAGCCCTTTTCCCAAATCAGGTAGGGGTCGGCATTAAGTCTATGTCTAAATTTATTTAGTGTTATTAAACGCTACAAATTCCACCTAGAAGAACTTAAGACGACATAAGATGAGTTGATGACGTTACAACTACCGTTATACAGAGGTACAATGAAGTCTTTAAATAAAATATGTTCTTTTGCAGATCTTCTTTTTCTGTTATGCTGTGCGGCGGTCTTTGCCGGCAGCTCCGCGTTCTCAATTACATTGAGACAAAATCCGGAGACGCTGTGCATAGGCCAAGAGAACTTCCTGAGAATTGCTCACGTGGACAGCTGCTTTAAATACTACCAGTGCTACTCCGGTCAATCCTACTTGATGCAATGCCCTCCATCCGCATGGTTCAATGAACAGCAGCAAGTAAGAGCTTTCTGTGACAATGGCTTATGCTGGTTACAAATAGAAGACTAAGTTTCAAACACGAAAATCGTCATATATAAATGATTTAATTTTAAAATTTCATTTAAAAAAATTAGATTACTCTCGAAATCTGACTACAAAGCTGCCATTTAATAATTCATCTTCTTGAAATATTTTGAATCTAGCAAAATTTCTTTAATAAGTACAAAATACTCAAATCGTCAATATATGTCGTAATATTTATTATCTTAACAATAGTTTATCAGTTTCTTGTGTACCGATCGATCAAACAATTGGTGAAATTTGGATGTTTTATATCCCCAAATATTTCATTGATTAGATACTGTTTCTGATAACATTATATTTTTAAGAGGAAAATACCATAATACCTACATACATTATTATTTAATATTTAAATGACAATACATACATATTAAGTTTTTTCAATACGTTCTCCTAGTTTGATTATTCTTTCAATTCCACTTTATTTTTTTACAAATTGTCCACCATTTATATATTGTGCTAGAAAGTAACTTACTAAAATATCTTCTTTCTTTTCAGCACTGCGACTGGTCAGAATTACCGGCACATTGCCAACAATCTGAGCCTGAGCCAGAGCCAGAGCAAGAGCCTGAGCCCGAGCCAGAGCCCGAGCCAGAGCCAGAGCCTGAGCCCGAGCCTGAGCCCGAACTAGAGCCCGAGACCGAGTCCGAGCCAGAACCAGAATCGGAACCGGAAGTAGAAGAGTTAGAAGAGGAACCTTCGTCAGAGGAATCTTCATCTGAGGAAGGTTCGGGAGAAGAATTTGAAGTAGACACTGTCCAACGTAATGTAAAAACACATAAAAACATCGAACAGGAAGAAATAGAAGATGATAACGAGGAAGAAGAAAATAACGAGATAGTTGAATCTAAAAAACTAAAGCAAGAGGAAAGCGATGAATTTGATGGTGAGTATATTGAAGCGCAGGAAGAAACTTTAGATGAGGAGAAGATTAAGAGTGGTAAAAGACTAAAGAGACAAAACGAAATTGAAGAAGAATCAGAAGATGCCGAAGACAAAGACTGTGACGATGAAGAGAAATCTAACAAAAAACATCAAGAAATCGACGAGGAATCTGATGAATCGGAAGAAGCTATTGAGGATGTCGAAGGGCTCAAAAAGAGACAAGAAGACGTTGAAGAGGAAGATGAAGAAGAATCTAATGCTGAAGTAGAAGAGGCAAAGAAAAAACAAGAGGAAGTTGATGAAGACGCTGAAGATGAAGAAGAAGCCAGCGATGAAGAGGCTGACAAGAGAAAAGAAGAGGTTGAAGACGACGATGAAGATGAAGAGAAAGATAGTGATGAAAACGAAGAGGCTGAGAAGAGGCAAGAGGAAGATGAAGAGGAAGCTGATAATGAAGATGAAGAAGAGGTAAAAAAGAAACAGGAAGAGAACGGGGACGATAGTGATGATGACGACGAAGATGATGACGAGGAAGACGATTCAAAAAAGAGACAAGAAGAGGTAGAAGAAGAGGATGATGAAGAAGATGTTGAAGAGAATGAAAAGCTAAGAAATAAAGCGAAAAGGTTCTTTAAGCGTATGATGAGCGTGAACTAATTGCTAGCCTTAAGAATCTAAAAAGGCAATGTAGTTTTAATAATAGGTTAATTAGAAAACACTTTGTGCAATTTTGTAAATAAGATGTTGTGGGTGTGATTAAATTATAGTTAGACATAATTCTTTTTTGTTTCAATTGCGGTATTCATCGCAAGTAGTCAGTTATATTTCAGTAAGTAAACGAAAACCGTTGACTACCTTTGCTTATTCAGCAAGAGGAAGAAGAAATGAGACAATCAATGCATGAACATTCTGATTCATTTAATAAACAACTGTTGTGGTCCATCCACTGCCATCCATCTTACGACACCCACAGGATGAACAGGGGACGTGATGCTCCGTATTCTTAATCCGTCACCACACGGAACATATTATACACTGCATGCAACAGTATTCACTTTTTATTTTTCAATTATTTTTTTTAAAAGACAACTCCCGCATTAGGAATATATCCTGTATCGCGAGGGACTTTACAAACATACATGAAACAGACACAAAGAAAACCTAGACCCAGAACAACAATTTGTGGATCACACAAAGTGTCGTCCCATGTGGGGATCGGACCCACAACAGTCAGCGTAGTAGTAAGCGGCGTGGCGACCGCCTAAACCACTACACCATTCGTGCAGTCAAAGTATTATAACATTAGAAAAAAGGCACACCAATTTCATTAATTTCTGTACATAATTTTAAATAGGGTGCAACTTTAAAATATGGCCCAGGCGCCCTTCGTTATTGTCACGCTCATGAGTAGGCGTTAGAGATGACAACCGTCAGTTCTGTAACTCAAAAAAATTAAAGTTACTAAAGTTCTCTCCATTGTTTTTTTGGTTCAAAACTTTCCATTTACATATATTTTGCATAGAATTACAAAATTTCTTCAGCAGTTGGTATATCTAAAACACAGGACTGATATTAGTCTTAAATTATTTAGTTTTCTCTTGCTTTATAGGTACAAAAGACTGTGTTCAAAGTTTGGTCGATAGTGAGCCACTCTGGAGACATAAGTACTACAGATAACGGTGTTCTGATAAGTACCTATATCCACCAACAAGTAAATAAACTAGCAAGAAGCGGTGCTTTAGGAGGGCTCGCGAAGTTTTCACGATTGATTACTAATTATTTTTAATTTGCGCGTAACCAAAGTCTTTATTTATAAGATACTAATTCTTCACTTTTCTAACAGTTGGCGTTAGTATTAACAGTCCAATTGATAAAGTATTACACATATCTTAAACGAAACACTAAGGGATTAAAGCAAGTAAGAACTAAAATTACGCTGTACAACGCATTGGTTGCAACCTTGAGTTATCCAGTGTAGTGTGGAACCCACACTATACAGTCTACTCTCAAAGAATAGAAAGTATTCAGGGAGCGTTTACTAGACACCTTGCGTTTACAACAAACATGATATCTCCCCGAAATCCCTATGATTCACGTCTAAAATGTTACCACTTAAACTCTATACGTGAACGTTGAAGAATACACGATCTATTGTTTCTTCACAAACTGGCAAACAAAAAACTGGACTGTAACGAAATTATCTTACACATTTCAATAGCTGTGCCTTATAAAATACCTAGACATCCAATAACTAAACAGTTTCCTGTTCAATCCTGTAAAACGAATATAGGAGTTGCCACTGAACAGAATGTGTATAGAGATGAACTCATTCGGTACCATCGAGCAGTACCAGATATTGACATACACCATGACTCGATAAACTCATTTAGATCCAAGGCCCTAAAGTCTCAAAGGGGTTACCCCTTTGTCAGTACCCAACTTTTTTCGTAATAGGCTTACTAGGAACCGAAATTACTAGTATTCCCTTTAACTCCTAAACCTAAGCTAAATTGCTTGTGTTAGGAGTGTGTTCACGTCGGTAGTGTACTGGTCAGGATTTTAACCCACGACCTCTTGATCGCAAGTCCAATGCCTTACCCACTAGGCTACCGCCGCTTATTATTATTAAAATATTGTTTTTTGCTATCACTTATTCGCATTACATTCTTTTGTTCTCATTATTTGTAGTTGTAGTTATGTAACTGGTTAAGATATTATTAACTACGATTTATATGTACGAGTATAACAATCTAGCGAATGCTGGTTAGCCCGTAATTGGCAAGTGTGTGTATTTTGTATACACGAGCTGTGGGAAAACCTTATTAAATAAAAAAATATATAAAAAAAACTATAAATCTTCTTGGTTTTAAAATATGCATAAAATAATATTTTTATGATCAGCCCAAACCGTGAAAGTGTGACAGTTTCTCAGTAAAGTAAAAGCATAGTTTGTGGGATAGCGTTAGGACTCGATGCGCTCGCCCCTGATAAATAAATAATGAATGTTTATCAGTCATTATTTATTTTTATTACCTTTATTAGAGATAAATCAAAAGATAAAGCGACCTCCAGCCTCTGGCCGTCAGAGATCCATCAACAAGCGGAGCTTAAAATGTGATGAAGAGCTTACACTAAACTTACAGTTTGGCTCAGTCAAGTGTAATTGAAATTGAGAAATTGATTTCAACACACCATGCATCACTACGATAGCGTTATATACATAATTAAGTTAACGATTAACAAACTGACCACCACTGTGACTTTGACTAACTTTTATGTTGTGCTTATTACAATTGAAGGATCAGACTCTATTGGCTTCTGAATTATGTTTCTGAAATCTTAGGTTTACTACATTACAACGCTGAACCTAATTTTGATTACCAGTAGGAGCAAAAAGAGGACATAGGAAAACAAAACGACAATTATTATCAATTTTGAGAATTTATTACATCATTTATTATAGTACAAAATAATCCTCAAATACAATAATTATTTAGATATAAGTAACACAACCAAAGCAAAATATTAAAAGTTGGATTTGAGATGTTCATGTCACCGTAGGCCAGCTATAAACGCGGCCGTAAATGCATTTAGGACATAAAATAAGGTTATATTTGTATAGTTAACTAAATGACTGGTTTGTTAGAGTTACTCTACTCATTGGCAGTAAAATCTTACAATACTGGCAATTTCTTGTTAGCGAACAGGATACTTGCTTCCATGATACGCAATAAGCTAGAATATAAAAAATAAACTTCTAAAATTGTACACAACATACCAACAGCTTTATAAAAGAAGTCCAAACTGCGAATACATAATTTAGACAATCCTCTAGAAACCTAATTTGTATTCCAAGGACTTCAAGTGTAATGTTACATACATAAAAAAATATACTAAAAATACTACATAAACACAGAAAATTATATTATCAATGTTAGTTTGTATTATAGCAATGAAAACGTTACCCAAATATAATTATAAAAATTCTTTCTTGCATGTTCAGATTTAGAATAAGATTGACAATGGTTGTAAGTGGACTTTAATTAAAATGTATATAAATATATATCATGTAAAATCAACCCCTGAAATGCCCTAAAATTTCTTACACAATGTATAGTGCAACATTATCGCTCAAGGTCCTCTTTAAAATATTGCCAGTTTTAGTGGAACAGCACGGAATACCGTATATTATATTAAAATTTACTTTATGGTCCACCTAACGCACAGTATAAAAGATGCAATGAGTAGATTAGATATGTAATGTGTTAAAATATATATAAATTAGTAGTTCGGCCACGTTGGAATTACTCACTAACAATTTCAACAACAGACTGCGAGACGTAGCGTTATACAGCACAGTGTTGCGCAAATCAACAATATCACAAGTACAATCAGCTGATAATTCCAACCGCCGCGGAACTTACACCTACTCCTAAAGCGAATACAATAGTAGTAAAAGTACTTGTGTGTAAATCTAGCTGTTTATAACAAATAACCATACTTTGACCAGACATTTTACTAAAACGTTCCGCGAAAGATATTTCCGTACAGCGCTGCCGATAAATACCTTATTAAAGTTAGCAAAACTACATTTCTTTTATGCGCTATAGAGGAACATCTTACAGTCGAAACTATATCACCGATACGCGTCGCGTCCGCGCCGTCACAAAACGCATCTAAACTAAAATTACATTACAAATTCGTAAGAAAATCGTTTGCTAAAACGTAGACAGTAGAAGAGAAACGTAGTTAAGAAATAAATAATCAAATAAAACGACTATATACAAATATGATTAAACAGACGGCGGGGACGCGACTCAACTTCCACGAACAATTCCGAAGTCCAATTCCTCACACAACTATTTACTATGTCTACGGCGGTTACATGAAAATATCACGAGCGCGAATACATCGTTAGGTACACGAATACCGTTAGTACAAACATTTTAATAGAATATAAGCGTGCTCTTAATGTTAATCGTATCAAATCCATCGACGACATGGTTGAGTAAAAAAGTAAGAAACTGGCATGGTTGTACAAAACATGTATATGTGATCAGGAGCGCAGACACGTCAGAACAGGCCCACGTCCTTCTTCAAGTTGGTCTGTTTCCACGCGGGGAGACTTGAGAACTCTTCTTTGGACATGCCAAAAGCCTCCTGTTGAAACGGAAAATATCTAAGTTAGTAAAATAGAAAAAGATATTGGTCGAAGCACTGAATATGAATATACTGTATAAGAGTTGTATTTGATATCAAAATGCTACATACTAAAAATAAAAAATAAAGTTTATCTATTTTGAATACGTTTGATCGTTACACCCAATCTATTGTTTTTTTTTTTATTAATATTAAGACTAGTATTGTCATAAAGCATTGGAAATCATCTAACTTTCACCCTTATTAAGGTACATTCAAACGTAATTTAATTCTAAATGTTATAGATAAATTACATCCAGACACAGAACAAATGATTGTGCTCATCTCGGACGTAAACCACCACCATCAAGCGACCCGTCTGTTCGTTTATCCCTATATATCATAAAAATAAACAATGTTCAGGGATATTACACATGCATTATTAATTGAATAAAGGATAAATATAAAACAAAAAATAAAGCTTTTTGCAGCATCATCGCCCACGTCAGGGGCTGTCGGGCCGAAACATCGAGCGCACGCCCCCGACGGGCCGCAGCGAGGCAGCGAGGCAGCGAGCGGTGGGGTCTCGTACCAGGAAGTCGGCGGCGGCGAGGTGCCGCTCGAGGTGGTGCGGGTCGACGTGCGGCGGCAGCGGGCGGCGCTGCAGCTCGGCCAGCGCCAGCACGGCGTCGCAGCTCGTGAGGCGCGACAGCTCCGCCGCGCCGCGCACGTGCGCGCCCGCCTTGTGCCCGTGCTGCGGAGGTGCGCGTGCGGTACGTACAGTGAACCGGCCGTGCCATAAACCATATTTACACCGCGCGGTTAGACAGGCGAGGGTACAGCGGCATACAGATTAGAACCATAACCATAAGGAAGATCCACCAAAGCTCGTTTGAACACTGCTGTACTATTAATGGGGGTTTTCGTCTAACATTGTTCTGTTATATCTTTACGTCTGCGGTGATGACTCGAATAGGCAGAAACCAAAAATGCAATGTCATAGATAACTGCCAATTAATTGGTGGCATTGAAATTCTATATTCTGTGACTAGAGTATATTATTCCGAAATCCTAAATATCGGGTTCTAATATACTTATGTTATGATTGTATCAAATCTCTAAAATTTTCGAATTAAATTTAATAATCTCAAGATTAAGGCCATAAAACATTTTTAAAATCCTTCTAAACTTTAGTAATTTATTTAAACTTTACCAATTTTATATTACCTGTTTACAATTTCCGGGTTATACTTTGACCACGAGATTAATATTAAATAACCCTTACAACAATTAACAAACAAAACTGAGATCATATTCTGTAATTATGACGTAGTAGGTTTGACCGTTACATGACTTCAGAAATAACTTGAAATTCTAACTTAAACGCCATGAATTTTGGAAACTGTTATTTTATGACTCTCTTTATATACAATTTCCGTTACAGAAATATACATAATCTGTTTAGCTGTTTGATTATTTTAACTTAAAACTCGACTATTTTAAATATTAAAGTGACTCAAAAGTAGTTTTTACACTTTCGATAGATTTTGTTTTACAGATAACCTAACGCCCATTAAACGATCGAAGTCAAGTCGGTCCGCAAACCAGTAGCGAGGAGAGCGTGGACGTAAAGAAGGGCGTACTTACAGCGATGTTAACATCCGCGGCCTGGTCGTGGTCCTCCCAGGTGTCGAAGAGGTCGGTGAAGCGCTGCGGCTCGAGGCCGGCGGCCACGATCCGCACGTCGGGCTCGGCGGGCGGCGGCGCGGCCCTGGACACGCGCCAGTAGGCCGCGCACGTGCGGAGCGCCGCCACGCGCAGCGCCTGCCAGCGCGCCGCGAACGCGCCCACCCCTGGGAACCGACACGCTCTATGACTCTTATGTCCACGAGTTATAGGTTACATTCCCTTGGAAATCTTACTGACCTGATTATGGAATGTCGAGGTGTATTTTTTGGTTTCAGAAATCTTTATTCAAATAAGAATTTGTACGTTCGCTTACAGGAGATTTTATACACTAATAACTATAAAATATTCCAACGAGAAGCATTTGTAACAATTTTTTTTTTCTTTTAAAAGACAACTCCCGCACTAGGAATAAATCCTGTCTCGCAGGGGACTTTACAAACATACATGAAACGGACACTAAGAACACCCAGACTCAGAACAACAATTTGTGAATCACACAAAGTGTGGTCCCATGTGGGGATCGGACCCACGGCACTCAGCGTAGTAGTGAGCGGAGTGGCGACCGCTTAAACCACTACGCCATCCGTGAAGTCATTACATATTACTATGTATGTGAAAAAAGAAAATATTTGTAATGTTTACCTTTTACAATTTTAACAATAAAATGAAGGCAAACAAGAAATATTATAAATATGTGGTTAATAACCTTACATTTAACGATTTTACATAAAGGAGGTTTACCACCTATTATTGAAAGAGATACATGGTGGTGGAGTGATGAGGCACAGAAAGCTCTAAAAGAAAAGAAGGATGCCTTTAAAGCGTGGAAAAATGAAAAGGTCTGTGAGAGAATGAAGGAAGTCAAAATGAATGAATATAAAGAGTAGCGGTAGCGGTAGCCAGAGCTCAAGCTCAATATAACATATTTAAAAACCTACATGAACTTAGAGGTCAAAAAGAACTCTACCTCATTACAAAGAACAGGGAAGAAAGAGCAAAAGACCTGAAGCATGTGAGATGTATAAAAGATGAAGAGGGGAGAGTGTTGGTTAAAGATGAAGATATAAAAAAGCGATGAAAAACTTACTTTGAAAAACTTATGAATGAGCGGAGTGCTAAAGCATGTGGATGTGAATGTCGGACTGGTGAACGAGATTAGTATAGATGAAGTTAAATTGGCAGTACGAAGTATGAAAAATTGAAAAGCAGTTGGCCCCGACGGTATACCAGTGGAAGTTTGGAAGCTACTGAAAGAAGACGGATATGAGTGGCTGACTATATTCTTCAATATGTTGTTGCTTGAAGAGGTAATCCCAAAGGAATGGTGTCAAATCCAACTCGTACCCATTTTCAAAAACAAAGGAGATGTTCAGAAATGCAACAACTATCGAGGAATAAAGCTCATGTCACATACTATGAAAGTCTGGGAGAAAGTGATTGAGAGAAGAATAAGAGGAGGAGGAGGCACCTTGGTGCATGCTATTTGCAGATGACATTGTGTTGGTCGGTGAAGATGGGGTTGAGGTTCAGAGCAGACTGGAAAAATGGCAACAAAGGCTGGAGAATGTTGGCTTGAAAATCAGCAGAACCAAAACTGAGTACATGTTCTGCGATTTCGGCGGTCTCTCCAGTCCTGAAACCATTTCGCTGGATAAGATAGCGATAACAGTCTGCTCCAATTTCAAGTACCTCCCTCTTACAATGTGATGGTGAGATTGATCGAACTGTACAGCATCGAATCAATACGGGATGGATGAAGTGGCGGCAGGTAACGGGAACAACTTGTGACCCCAGTTTCCCCTTAACACTGAAGGAACAAATTTATAAAACTATTATCAGACCTGCCGTCCTGTATGGTTCTGAAAGTTGGCCCATTAAGAGAAAGGATGAGAGACGCCTGAACGTAGCCGAAATGCGAATGCTGAGATGGATGTGTGGTGTGACTCAGATGGACAAGGTTAGGAATGAGTATATACGAGGGAGTCTGAAAATAGCGCCAATGGATGAAAAGTTAAGAAGTAATAGGTTATCTTGGTATGGACATGTCATGCGGAGGGATGAGGAAAATGTGGCGAAGAAAGTTTTAGGTATGGGAGTTGAAGGGTACAAGAGAAGAGGCAGACCGAAGAAAAGGTGGATGGACTGCGTGAGGGAGGATATGGCTAGGAAGGGAGTTAACAGTGAGATGACGCATGACAGAGTAGAATGGAAAAATCATACATACTGCGCCGACCCCAAATAAAATTGGGAAAAGGGTAAGCAGATGATATATGAGGTTTACCACCTTTGTGTAAAATTTAAGTCAGTTTAAATTTTATTATCCCAAACAGATAGTATATAGATATAATACCAAGTACTAAATTCAAATTTTCAGTTTCTAAATTCGAATGTTTTCGGAAACTTTGATGAAATAGTTACAAACATCTTAAAGTATAGCAGAATATTTGCATATTTTGCTTAAGATAACAACGATAGTTTCGGGCGATTTATAAAATGTTCCAGTCAGAAATTTAAAAAATAGTTATACTATAGAAAAGTTCTTTGATTAATGTATTTGAAAAGATTTTAAATATAAAGTAGTAAACCATTTAATGTTACAACTAAACTCTAAACGTACCGGCGTTTCGCTCGGCGGGTTCCAGTTCTCCATCCTCCCCGCACGGCCACCAGCCCTGCCACAGCCACACGCACTTGCCGTCGTCTAACAGGAACAAGGCTGCAATTATAAGCAAAAGAAATGTAAAAATATAAACACTTTAAACTTAAAAATGCCTGCGAGTTGATAAAAATGCTAAAAAATTACCTGGCTGCGAAGCCGAATACAACTCCTTTTGTTCAAAAGGAAAGGGTGTCACCAAATGATCGTGTCGTAGTGGCGACAGCACCTCGTTTGCTTCAAACTGTCCACCCAGGTCCGTAAAATGGAATAAACGAGGAGTGACGTCACCGCCAGCCTCCCTTCCAGCTCCCACTACCGAGTTGTAATACTGCTTATTCGCCACACCCAATGCACTTAAAACTTCCTTAGGCTCTTCTCCTTCACGCACTTCAGTAATTTCTATATGAGATACATTATCGCCGAACAAATAGCTGGACTTTCTTGCGATAAGTCTGTTAGCCATGTCAATAGCAATATTCTTCGTATGTTTCATGCTTCTAGTGCCGTGCCAGATGTACATACAACCTTTTTCTGTGTCGACAAGTAACAAAGAGCCACGGCTTCGCAACTGGCGGACAGAACAAGGCACTTGAAGTAGATATGCCTCGTTAGCCAAGTTTCCGCGAGTTACAAACAGCCTATACCTACTTTTATCGGTGTCTCTTTTACCCTGGTGAATAACTAGATTACCCTGGAAAAGGTTTAAGAAGGCCGGAGGTTCGTTTCCTTGAGCTACTCGAACCTGAGGACCTTTTTCTTTGTCGAGTTCGACAGTCAACAGGGCAGCAGCACCTTTCTCGTTGGAGCTGGCGTCTCGGCCTTGCCAACAGAAGTACGCGCAACGGTCTCTGCCGGTCACATTGTGTTTAGACGGTTTACCATTTAACTCTCTACCGGTAGCCGTTATTTGATACTCCCATCTTATAATGTAGCTGTCAGCTGAGAAGAATTCACCGATTTCGGAGTCATTTTCCACCTTTTGATAATCGTACTCCTGAATGACCCATTTGCTTACAGACTTAGTGTTGATATCGTAATGTCTCATGTTGTTCTTATCATAATAGTGCGTGCCTCGGCCGATATGGGATCCTTCTAATATGAGATCTGGATCCTGGTATTCATTCGACCACATTTCTTCAGCATCGCAAGGAGAAATTTCAATGCTATTTGATTTATTTTCTGGGGTTTTCACTTTGATAACCCTAGAGTAATCGGGCCAATCTAAAAACTTTTCCTTGAAGAGAATAGTTTCCATGTGCTGTGTGACTTTGGACATTATCGCCCACTCGGGTCGGCTCTTGGATGATTTTGAAGGTTGTTCAGTAGAAGGGTCACGTGCCCCTTGGTGCAAAGCTGCATTCAAAGGATTTATGTGACACTCCTCATAGTTGTAACCTTCATCAAACATTTCTTGAGCCAACTGTGCTGCGCGGCGACGACTCTCCAAAGGTACATTTTTGCCGTACCAGATATACAGTTCTGAACCGAAATCGAACACGATTACTTTGGATTGGTTGAGCATGGCTATCTTTGGCGATTGGCCCCAATATTCCTGGATTGGCTCCAATTCATCATCTTTGACCTCGTAGCACATATTGGTCTGGATGACACACGACTCGAAAATTTCATCTTCGTCGGCATGTCCAGTCTCTACGGGTTTGTAGGTCTCGGCGTCTTCTGTGACGCCTAATAATGACCAGAATTGGTTCCAATGTTTCTTGCTATAGTTTTTTATTTGTTCGTCTATTTTAATGATGCCTGTAGAGTTCTTGCAGCCTAAGTCTTTTGTGTTTTGAATGTGCATGGCAATATCTGTACTGCGATTCCTGAAAGGATAGGAAATTTGTATGTTAGTTACCTATTGTTTTTGGGTTCTACTTAAAAGAAACAGGCCATTGTCTATTGTTAATAAAATAATGACATAATTATTATTGAAAAATATCATTTTGATACTTTGTGTAAGTATAAATTAAGAAACTAGAAAGGTCTCGAAACAAGAATTTATGAATTCAAACTTTAAAATTTGCTCATCATCCTATCTTCATTGTTACTACATTCTGACAATAAAAATGTATTGTTTCCGCTATTCAGAAATACATACTTTTCAATAACATTAGCGTACAGTCCGATGTACAGGAACAGTTGTTCAGGCGTGACTAGTATGAAGCAATCACCACGGTTCACACTCGTGTGTACCGGCTCCACAAGCCGTGTCTGAAAAATACAAGGTAATAATAATAATATAATACTGAATTTTAACACTTGAAAATAATAAACGAGATTATTGTTAGTTGAAATTTAAAGTTTTGTACGATTTACAAGTAGGTTCAATTATGGTTGGTCCTAAAAACCCAGACTGATATAATATATATATATAATATTTCATATTTACACGACTAGACCTTTCTATGGATAGGCAAATATTTGTACGGAGCTTGAATGGAACCCACGTCCCCCGTGCTAGCGGAGTTAGCTAACGGTTAGTTACCTGCACCCTGCGGCGGCCCTTGACGTGCAGCAGCATGGCGGGGCGCGTGCCGTGCGCGGGCGGCGCGGCGCTGGCGCTGCGCAGTGCCACGCTCGCGAAGTCCTCCTTGCTGGCCAGAGCCGCCAGCGCCTCCGCCGCTAGGCCGCCGTTGGGTTGTACTGCAAGTGCACACAGAAGTCACAGTTTAGTAGATAGCAACACATCCTACATCTAATCTTACAAAACAACAAAAGCCTGAGCTTTTTTATGCTATGGTCTCTACTGATTATATATTATACCAAAGTATAACAACACATAATCCGTGGTCTACGTATCGTAGTAGCAACATAGTAACTAAAGTATTTAAAAAATTAAATCCTATGAAATGCAAAATTAAACACTAAAATTATTTTTATCGCATAGGAGAAAAAGGAGCAAACAGGTCACCTGACTACCGAAATTCATACATTCCCGCCCCTCCCCCCCTCCAGATTCATAGGGAGGGGAGATATGCGAGCACCGGTTTCCTGTGAGGCCGTGGTATGAAATCTGTCGAACCGGCTCATTTGTAGCGAAGCATTACTCTCCCAAAGCAAACAATAAATACACAAACGAAATAAACTCACACTTATCAGGAACATAGCTCTTTTTGTTATTCAGTGGTATGGCGGTGGTTGTAGGTACATATTCGTCTCGCAGGTCCGTCCGCGCCGCAAGAGCTCGAAGTGGATTGCGCGAAGCCTGGTGACGACGACCAACTCGTGCTCGACGAGCCCATTCACCTGCCAGACTGTACGGACAGTTGTTTTGTTTTAAACTCACTTCCAAGATCATTCAAGATACAGAAGTATTAGCAGCTAATACAGGCATCCATGGGATAGGATTGGAAAACTTTACTAGTGTAATTTGTATTTTAAGTGCAAAAATAAAAAACAAATACATAAGTAAATATAGAGGAAGAAATGCAGAATTATATTAGTATTATTATTTATATAAATATGTTATTCTTGTAGTAACATTGCATTTATATAGTATTGTGTTAGAACATAAAGTTATAAGCCTTTAACAACAGGCACGTTATCTAAATAAACATTTATATTATTCTGATATTAAGGAAAAATGCAATAAAAGTATAGTTACAATGGTAATAAGAATAACTTACAGTTGTCTAGAACCGCTATCAATTGCATCCAGGTCGACGTCGACACCCTCGGCGTCTGCTGTCTTCCCTTGCTGTAAAGCAGGCGTGTAGAAAGCGTGGAACGTTTCATCATCAGCTCGTGGTACTCGAACTGGTTGACCTGATCGCTCCGCGCCACTGGGCGCTTCATCTTCTATAATAAAAAATAAACTCGCTTATAAGATACTATTTTATAAATACATTACAGCCAGACACAGACCATGATCATGCTCATCACACAATTCTTTTTCATGGGTTCGAATTGAACCCACGATCTCTGTCTCCTTAGCCACTAGACCAACAGTCATTAAAATACCAAATTGATTTATTTATTATATGAATAGCAGTGCTTAGTGCAACACAATAGATAAAATTGCGATCTTTCAATCGCTATCAGGTTTATCACGTTTTATAAATTGACATCTTAAATATAAAGTATTATATCTGTGTTATACCAAAGAACGAGTATTATAATATACCTACTGCAAAACACAACAAGTTAATTTAGGCATATAATAATTAAAATGGTTATAATTAATGTTATTATATAATCGAGCGTTGTAAAAATTAATACTTTATATAATTACTGTCATTATATATTTTATATTAATTTTATATAATTAATATAATTATTTATATTATTGCAGTTTTATACTTTAATGCGAATTAAAATCATTGATTTTATTTCAATACTAGCAGGGTACAGCTAGTATTGAAATAAAATCAATGATTTTAATTCGCTGATAATAATTCCAAGCTTCGCTGTGGCACACTAGTTGCAATTTAATTATAAAAACCATCTTTGAAGCGTGTTGTATGTCGTATCAAAATTCGAGCCAAAGTGGTGCAGAACTTTTTAACTTTTTCAAGCGTACACAAACTAACTGAACTTTTATATGTAAATATTAATAAACGTATGATATTTCAATAATACCGTTGGCGCGTTGATATCATATTGATACAATTACGACATTCACAATTATTTATATGTGCCCTATAAGCAAAATAATTGCTTTTGTTAATTCATTTAAGCTCGTAATATGTCATATAAATCTAGACAAAAACTGGTAGATAAGAACCACAAATGAAGTTTTGTCTATAAAATGAATACACATCATGAGATATCAGTTACTAATCTATAGATACTCACTCTCATCAACCCTACTAATGCTCTCACTGACAGAGTGACTTCTCTTGAAAGACTCTCGATCGATTCTAGCAGTCTCTTTAGGCTTCAAATCGATTGAAGCGGCGCTGACGACTGCACACGAGGCCGAGCGGAGGGGACCGGATGCAAAACCGTTGGTAGGGGACGTTTGCTTCCGAGACCTGCGGCGTAAAGTTACATTTTGTCATTGGAGAAGCAAGTTGCGTAACTCAGTTTTACTATACACATGATAGTCTAGTGTCCTAGACCTTTATTGACATGAAGTACCTACTAATTTAAAGCGATAGTTGCTGTTATGTTAAATGGTAATATAAGATTGCGAGTTGTGAATTTCGAAAGTAATTTCCTCTTTCGGGTACGTTCAACTTGTGGAATGAATTTCCTGTCTAAAATATGAAATCATTGTGTTCTTAAAGATTCTTTAAAATATGTTTATGCGGTGGAAGTGCGTTATATCACTGGGTTACGATAGCATATTTAACCTACGCATACTTATTTTTATTAGTCTATTCACAATGACTTTAAACTCGTGTTTCGTATGCCAGCTCTTTAAGAATTACGGTACTATTTATTCAAGACTATTCCCACACTAAGGAAACATATTTTAAACATACAATTAACAGACAGTACAGTGAGTGTGACTCAAAACATACAATTTAACAGTTCAGTGCAACAGAGTGTAACTGTAACGAAATAAAATGGACAGGTGCAGGTTGTTTACTGAACAGTACTGATATTTGTTTTCAGTATATTATGTTGATGGGGCCTTGATCATGATGAATGAATTCAAAGTCATTATTAGGGGCAGGGAATTTGGTTCTCGTTAGTGCATAATACTTCTTGCCTAAATAAACTCCGTTAGTCTTTAGTTGTTGTTTATCGTTGGTGTAATTTTAAATTTACATATGTATGATTAAAAATAGAACGGAATACTGATAAGTTTATTTCTAGATGGAGCTGTGTAATGTGTTCAGCGTAAAAACTAACGAATAATTTTATTTAAAAAAAAAATACTTGTGTATAACATTTTCCGTAAAAATTTAGGTAAGTATACTTACTTAAATTTATTTGGTGGTGGTATTCCAGGCGATGCTATTGCCACAGGCACTGTGGTTGGCGGTGGGGTGAGTGGGGGTGTCGACGTCACGACCTTGTCGCGCTCCAACCTACCCGCGACGGTAAAGAGAGACGCATCGCTCTGGGGGACGCGTTTACGCCATCCCTAAAATAAGAAAAATATAGCATGAAAAATTAATTTAATAAAAGGCAAAGGTAATTTTGGAAAATTGCAAATAATTGGAATAAATTAAAATTAACTAAATGCACAATACATAAGCAATGTACTTGTGTAAAAATAACTATCTGTGTTTAATAATCATAGTTAAAGTACTGAACTGAGTTATGTGAGAATCATAGTTGGATGTAGGGTAGACAAGTACCACACTCTACACCTTATTAAAATATGTGGCTTGGCGGTTTCGTTACTACAATTACTATTGTATAACAGAAAAGCAATGAACAGTGAATACATGTTTCACCTTACGCCAATGGGACGGCAGCGAATCGCCAAGACACATATTTACTATATACATATATAAGACTAAGGTGTAGAGTTTGTGAAGTTAGGGCTTGTAGAGTTTGGACGTGTAGAGTAAGAAGTTTGGCTCCACATGGGATCTTAGTAAGGACTCCTTGTTATAAACAATAAATTGTCATGTAAAAGTTTGCCAAGACGAGACAATATGGCTTGCACTGTCAAAGATCTTATGTGGCGCCAAATTTCTTACTCTACACGTTCTATAAATTCTAAGATGCTAGATAAGATTCTAGCATCAAAATTTGTGGAAGCCTCATACAAACTTCCATCCCCTAGTTTACGGGGTTGGAGGGTAAGTGCAGAGTTTTAATTTTTTTTTTGCTGTTTGTGTGCTAATTAATACTAGCTTATATCAAATATCAGCTTTCTAGGACTTCAGGAAGTACCCTAAGAATTTGATGATCATTAGTAAATAAGGTTTTTTTTAAGATATCAATAAAATCTAAAGTATAAGAGCTTTGAAATTGAAACTTTATATGATCAATAAGTCTACTAATGACATCATATCTCGAAAATTTAGTTCTTTGGTATACTCCAAACCCAAATCATGAGGGTTAAAAAAACGAAGAGGCGAGACCCTCTTAGCGGGGGCAGAGCCGTGCCCCCGATAATTAGGTAACAGTTAGTTCCTAGGTATAATAATCGTGCTTTTTTGTTCATATTTTGAAAGAAAATAATGCATTTAAAAAAAACGATTAAAGTAATTAAACCTAGTTAAGTAAAATATAACTATTTTACATAACTAAATAACCTTTGATTTTCAATTACTTGGATTGAAAAAAGTAAAACTAATAAATTTACACAAATATACTGTTCGATGTAACTTTGGCTGAAATTATTCAACCATATCCGAACAAAGTAAATATCATACATCCGTGAATCATTGCGGTCAGTTACTCATAATTCTCAATATTGACACTTGGTTTATGCATCTTTTATACAGCACTAGACGACTGGCCAGCTGGCCTTACCCACTCGAAATACCCACGAGCCCTTGATCTTTACATATACTCAGTTAAGGATACACTTGTTAGTACAATTATAAATTGTTTCACTTTAAAGCTTACTTGGAAAGGCCGTAGAGGCCAAGCAATCGTTGGAAACTGCATTCCTTGTATCAAATGAATCGTTCGCCCGTTTAAGTTAATACTTGATTTTACGCAACGCAGAATTGTTAATGTGGTGGAATTAAAAAAATGTGGTTACATGGCAAGATCGTACAATAACGTCGTGTAATGCAATCGTGAATGCAAAAACCAACAGAAAGGAATCTCTATATAAGCCAGAAGGATAGATAATTTTAAAACGAAGATTCGAAACTTAGAATTTCGTGGTCTGTAATAGCGTCTATTACATGTAGACGATATACAAAAAAATAATTTGTGATCTGGTTGTCTATCTAATTGTAAGTACCTGGATGACCGAGCTTACGGTATTTTTTTTTGGTAAATTTTCTAATAACGAAACTTAGATCTAGATAGATCGATTAATCGCCGAAAACCCCTGCATGTAAATTTCATGAAAATCGTAGTAGCCGTTTTATATATACATACACAAGATATGCTCGTTTAAAGGTATTAGATAAAATACTATAATAGGAATACCTATCCTCATTCCGCCATGACAATAGGTACGTATCCACGATGAGTGAACTAAAAGAGTGAATTTCTAGAGATCTAACAGTATGAATTAAAATGAATCCCACGTCAAAAACTCAACAATATTAATACAGGTATATAATTATAAAAACTGTCTTTCTAACTTTAGTTTTTAAAAATAAATATGTAAAACAAAACTGTAGCAAATTCCACACCAAGTTTTTGTTGAAAAGCATCCAAATCGCATTAGTCACTAAATTATTTGCAAATTTTACTGTGAACCAGTGTCTCTAATAATTAAAATGTGTGCAAGTGTAATAGAATATATATTTTTAACGACTTACTTGAGCAGCAGTTTCTAGTTTTGTTCGTCTGTCGGCTAAAATATTTACAGATCCGATTTCGTTCTCGTCGATGATAATTTTTTTCTTTTCATCTACTGCAGCGTTTAGAGATTCCTGTAACAATTAAATTTAAGAATATAATTTGTTTTCTGCCAATCAAAAATATTCGCTAGTTGCATTAACATCTATAGTAAGTATATTGATAGTTTCTTTTGCCAAATTTGTAGAGGTCATAGAAGTTTGTGCACTATTTCTATCCCCTGAAATGGTTTTTTTTTGAGTTTCGCAACAATAACATATTAATTAGAAACACGACATTTTTGGAAATAGGGTCCAAACTTTTCTTTTTTATATTTTATTTCTAATGTTCATAGGACTGAGATTTCTATCGTCATTACATAGTACATGTTTAAAGGTCAAAGAAGTTATCTCATTGTTTAGATGCAGGCATCTGATCTAAGCTGATAAAGTTACTACAATTTACTTCCTGTCTTGTTATATCTTATGTAATATCAATTGAGTGTAACATTACGTGTGAGAGTTTAAAACTATATGCCCCCAATAATAAGATGATATAATTAGATGATATCTATAAACACAAAATTAATATTATTTCTTTGCGCTAGATAGACAGACATCCATCCATACAACGTTGAATAATTGTGAATGCGTCGTTACGTAAGTAAATAAAAAGCGTATAATATTATAACTAACGCCATTTTTACTGCGGTGCGAGCACCCTATTGTCAAGTAAACGTATAATATTTACGGACTGATAACCTGCCGTCATTTTAATTCGTCTATTTTGTTCGTTCGTTTTAAATAAATGTGTTTAATAATATTTTCGAAACGTAATAATGTGTTAGTTTCAGTTAGCTTAAGGTAGTGGACTACTATCATGCCATATTATTACCAAAACATGACAAAAAATAGTGAAATACTTATATCCGTCAGCAATAGGAAATGGTAGTTGATAAGACAGTTGCAAAAGTATTATTCATACTGACAACTGATTAAATATCCTATGGTTTTGAAAATAGATTTTTACTATAATTATTAAAAAACCTGCCTGTGCGTTATTCGTAGAATCAACATCGAACTTCTTAAAAACGGGTTTGTTTCCACCATTTTTCGTTTTATTCTTTAATTCACCAATAACTAATCCAAAGTTAAGGCCTGCTGGAATTGCAGGGTGTTTCTGAAGACGTTTCAACAAAGGTGTTTCTTCTGGTGCTTTGTGTTGGACCGGCTCATCATAGATGGTCTCGGGTTCTTTCGGCTCTTTTACAAGGTTTGAATACTTTAATCGATTTATATTCTCAGAGATATCATCGATCGTGATTTGTTGCTTTACAACCTTTTCACTTAGAGTATGCCCTTGTTCTCTAAAAAGAGGTTTTATTTCTTTAAAAGTAGGATAAAGTACTTTGGCCGGTTCTTCGTGTATGAGTATTTCTCTTTTATCTAGAGCTAGATTTTGTATAATAGACTGTATTTTGTCATCGCTTAAAATAGTCTTCTCTAGAAATTCTGTCAGCTTTTCTTTTGGCGGGCTCTCGCGTTTAGGTCCCTTTTGCTTTAGTAGTTGACGTTGCTTTAATAATATAGATGGTGTAATCAAATCATCGTTTTGGTAAGGTATATAGTTTAACACTTTCTGAGGACGGCTACTCTGATGATATGCTAAGCGTTTCGATTTTAGTTGCCTATTCTGAAGTATTTGCTTGTTAGCTGTGGTGTTAACCTTTGTCGGTAAAATCTGGTCAACTACTTCCTTATTATTTAGCTCTGATATTTCTGGTTCAACTAGTTTTAATCTTGAATACTTAATGTGCTCTTCGTGGTTTGGTAGAAAATACTTCCACACCACAAACACAAGTAATAAAAACCCAAAAAATGCTTCGAGGATCATATTGATCTATGTTTTATCACTTTGCTAAATACAATGACATCGATCTGCCATATTGATTGATAACAACACTAATAATCCTTGAAGGCTTTACGCCATTGGTAATGAGCGATCAGTTGAGTTATAACATGTTTCACACAAAATTTACGCACTGTTTTTATTAGAAATAAGGTCTATTGTTCCATAAATCACAAATCACTGAGGAAATTGATGTTGAATTCACTGTTAGATAAAAAAAACAATTGAATGACTAGTAGAAAAAAAAACTAATATAACTAGAGCCGACAAAGCACTAACAGCGACAGAAGCAAATTGATCACTGAGATTCATTCGATCACACTTTATCATCTGGTTGCGGACGCGACACGTGTGACTCATGCGCTGGACCTAGAACGTGTGTAAACATTGTATACAACCAGTAGCAGAAGCAGTGACGCATCACTTTATTATGAAAAATGTATTCAACATAGGAGCGCCAAAGGCAATAGTACTATCAGCACGAGAAGAACCTTGACCCAAGAGACAACACACCCAAATATAAAACTGGCCTTACGATTAAAAATTAAATAGGTAAACCATAGAAAATTAACGACAAAATGAAACGATGCTGTAAGGTGTTATAAATTACAAAAGCTGTTTAATCATAACTTTACTGCAATCTGTTTTCTACTATTATTCTACATGGCACAGTCAATAATACCAGCAACAATTACTGAGATTTATTCATTCTCCTGTTTAAATACATTACATAAAACAGGAAAAATGTGTTAAACTAGGTTGCGACAGACTAGATTCCATCTAATCTTCTCGATGTACGCAATAATGCTAGCGACGCGACACTCTTGCACCAAATACGTTTACTTGTTCGCACCTAATACGGTGAGCAACAAAAACAACACAACGCTAATCCATCGAAAACTTTAGAATCGTTATTAACACTATATTAACTGGGGTTTTCGTTAAATAAACAGGAAACAAATTGTATCTATTGCTATTTATAAACAGGTACATCAATACCTCCGTCATATCGGTCAACGTTGGCCCTAATAAACGTCAATAAAGCACACGATGTGGTCAATGTAGGACGGATCAATCACAATTTTACTATCAACAACCGACATACAAATGTGAGTCCAAATTGGAATCCAGAACTCACAATGAATACAAATTATATGTACATTAAGAATTAGAATGTTTGCATGCCTCTAAGTCTCCACAAGGAATAATATGATTGTTAATAAAAATAGTAATGAATATTAGAGAGCGAAAGTGGCACTAGGCATTAACAATTTGCTATACAACCAGTGTTGAAATGATAAAGATCTATAGAAAAGAACAACAATTTCGATGGCCAATGTCACTGTAACTTCCACAGATTACAAGGTCGCAACCAAAGATAGTATGATAAATATGCGATAATAATGTTAACGTGTAAAGTACTCAGCGAAAATTAATAAAAATTCACCTCGCAATAGAACTGCTCGCTTTTGTTAATCTTTATTAACAGCGACGCAATCGAAAAACTTCTTTGCGTTAAAAAAGAAAACGAAACCAATTCCAAAATGAGATAAGGCAATCACAAACGCAATAAATGTAAGGATAAAGGCAACTAAATATATAAATAATATCCTAATCGTACCGATAAAACCACAATTATACAACAGTCCAAGGAAGGAAATTTCGCGCAAACACTATACACGATTTTGAAAATAAAATGATTCAACGGAATGCGCGCGCGCTTGGGGCGACCGGCCCAAAACAACTGACGGTGCCAGTGCGTCTCGTCAGCGAGCCAGGTCATTGCTGTTGCATGTGCAAATTATAATCTTTGATACACTGAAATTAAGATTCGCTTTTAATCTGTGAACCATGCCGGAAAGATTCCCATTATCTTCAAGGTATTTGAACTTCATATGTGATTTATAAACTAATCATAGATGATTCTTAGATTCCACAAAGAACTCACATGAGCCATGATTTTCAGTAATATTTACTATTTATAATAGCTCTGTACTATTTTATTTTTGTGAGGACACCTAGTCCTAGTCTCTCAGTATACGTTTTCGATGTTTCAAGGCGAAACAATATACTAATTATAGACAAATATCCTGATAAAAAACAAATCGCTAAAGTGGAAATGCGTATTATAAATCTTTGCTGAGTACTTAAAACACGCATTTTTATTATGTTACCTAATTAGTACTCGTAACAACTTTTACAAGGTTATTAGAATAAAGTGGATATATCGTTTGTATATCTACTTGGAAATAAGTTTACGTTACCAGTACTTATTAGAAATACTCGTATCTTATCATGTAAGTTTAGTCAGTTTAACTTGCTATGCTACACTAGCAACTACCCCGGCTTCGTAGGGGTAGCAGAGCATATAATAAGTTAAATTTTTTTCGTTATTATGTCCTAATCTTAGAAGATACACATATAGCATTTTTGCCTTCCATTGCATTCCAACTTACAATAAACCTTTAAAACCATATGAATCATGCTGTCCTTTGGTACAAACGTACGAAAACCCGTTAGGTACTTTTGGAGTTTATACAGTTCATACAGAAAGACAAACTTGGCGGAAGATTTTATAACGTGAGTAATTGTTAGTGAATAAATGTTGTTGTGCTTTTGCGATCCTCATAAATCAATGTAAGAATTCTTACAAACCTTGCAATTACCGATGATGCGCTCTAAAAAAAATGTTTTACACACACTAACAATTAAAACCGCCGTCATTCAGTTTGTGTTAACTTCGCATTGGCCAAAAATTTATAATTAGATTTAGCTTCTAGCCAAAACTTATGTGGAGCACTTTCATAACCGTTCCGTTGGCACTGTTTGACTAATGTGTGATACAAAACTATAAAGCGCGCCACAGTTCATGTTCGCCTCGTGTTGGGCTTTAATTAAACACTTCATAACATTTGTTCGACTTTGAATAATATTGCAGTCGGTATACCATTATTTTAAACAGACACTAAGTTAACTATATATACAAAACATAAGTTTTAGTGTAGAACTGCTAATTATCTCATCTCTATTGTTATAAAACTATAACGGGATTATGTATGTGTATTAAAGATATATTTGAAGTTCAAAAATACAGAAGAAGCCAGATGGTACTTTTATGTAATTCTATAAAATCCTGTAGTTCAATATAAACAGTCCTACTTTAAAAGTTCATTAGTGGTTATCTTTAATCATCACTAACTTGGTGCTACATTTACGGCTCATGACTGTTTGCAAAAATACTGTAAATCCAAATTTACACATCGATTCAAATAGTGGAGCTATGTGTTAGTGGGTATTTTACCAATAAGATTTATTTCATTACCATAATATGTTATAAGTTATTATTATAGTTTCAAACCCTTAAGGTTTAGAAATGGACGAGGGGAGGCTGGACATGGCCAGCAGTTGTTTGCCATAGGCTGATGATGATGGTTTAGAAACTGAACAACGGGAGAAGGTAAAGAAACGACAGGATAGTTTTGACAATGCACGATATGATATAGATAATATAATAATATAGAGCTTCGGTAACCGTTTATCATCACGACACAAGTTGTAAGAAGTAATATAGACACTTCTGTATCGAATAACATCGTGTGATATTTGAGTAAACTTAAAGGCGTCCTACAAGTGAAGACCTGCCGAATGCCTCTCTATTGCAGATAGGGTTGTGGGTTAGTTCCTAAATATTGTATTTCACACATAGTTTCTGTGAGTCAACGTTATGTGCATTGAATATTCAGCTGTAAATTCCCTGTGACGTCGGAATATTGATTATAGGTAAAAATATATAAGTTATCTAAAGCTGTTTCCACATAGGTTCCACAGAGTTATAAAGACATTTATACAATGAGGGCAATATAGATTAAACCAATAAAGGTATGCCTATACACAAGTATTATAATAGCGACATCTTTGTTTAACAAAAGTAGTTTTAAAACATTTGTCATATTTACACAGAGAACGTCTGCATAATTTAAAACAAAAAGTATAATAAATCATTTTGTATACACTTGGTTTATCAGTGTTACTGTTAGTTTAAAATGAGTTGCCATTTATTATGATGTAGTGGACAATTATATATGCTGATGTAACCCGTTGATGGATTTAAAGATTTTGTTTGCCAACCGTTTTCTAATGGCAGTTTAAGTATTTGAGCCAAGGTCTTGAATTAATTACTGAATGCATATTCTTATGGCGCTAACTTCATTCATTCCTTCATATTTATATTGAAATAAAACGAAGAAATAAAGATGTCTCATATTGATATGGTCACTTTAAACTGTTGTTAGCTTACAGATTAGGTAACATTTAGATCTCACAACTTTTTGCAATAAAATAACTGCCGTTGGAAGACCTGCTGTTTTTTACATCCTGTTTTTGACGCCATCTCTTTTGTCTTCTACTACAAACTACTCTTAGTTAATTTTACCGGCAGTAATTTTTTTACTATTAACGAATTATTAGTTATTTATTATTTATCTATTTAATTACGTGACGCCGCCCGTGGTTATGTATTTGTTAAGACACATCATAACTGATACTTATGGGAAATTTTTAACAGAAAATCATAAAGAACCTAATGCTGTTCATTTCACGACCCTTACGCTGCGAGATATGAAGGTATACTTATTTATGACTAAGTAGTGGTAAATACCTCCATTAAAAGCTCTTGTATAAATAAACAAGAATAAAGTAGATACACATTCTCAGTGAAATCCTTAAAATTCTGTTTGTAACCCAAACACTACCCTAAAACACAACCGTGTGCTTAAACCCGGTAGGCAGGTAGGTATTTTTGGTTCAGAGTTAGACTTCATAATATTCAAAACATTGCCACGTAGCGAAGAAACCTAGGACGTACGAGGTGCGACCTCTATGACTTACCACCCTATATGGCAGGGTTCTACGACGGCCCGTACATGGCAATGGGCGCGTGATACCCTTGCAATGATTAAATATGACCTACATTGATTGATGTTTAT